TTAAGTTGCCCGCCTAAGTCCGAGGGCGATCTATCGAGGTGTTAGTTTATACCTGGTCATCCCACAATTTTATTAGTGCCATATTATCGGACGCGTTGAAGTTACCAACAACAAAGGTAGATCCATTCGACGTGAGAGTTGCCAACGAAAAACTACAATGTCGTGAGTATTATCGAGACATGCCCATCAATCTTCAAGGCGAGACCATCAAGGCCGACCTCTATTCATTACCATTGGTAGGGCCCGACATAGTTCTTGGAGTACAATGGCTAGAAGGACTTGGAGAAGTCAAAACAAATTATAAGGAGGGGATAATGAATTTTATTCGGATAATAGGTTGATTATGTTAAAAACCAAACCGAGGGGAGCGGTTAAAGGTGCGGAGTTACGGAGTTTAGAGCTAATAGAAGAAGAGAGCAATCGCAAGTGGTGTATCTCGATCCTTGAGGACAAGGATGTACTTAAAGGGGGCAGGAATGATGAAGATGTGGTCATCGACCCTTCCGAGCCCGAGGACGCGACACACTTAAGCCCAAGAAGAAGACGCCTCAAACAGACGTGCCATGAGAAGTTTCGGAATGCACATCCAAGGGGCAAAACCTAGTGGGGATGGCTAAGGCATCAGGTGGCTCGTAAAATAGGAAGACGCGCAAGTCGGGTGCACAACGGGTGCAACACGCGCAGGCGCCCAGTGGCGCGAGACCACGTGCAGATGTGCACGCGCACATGCAGTCCACAAACAGTACGGGCGCGCGCAGGGAAGACTGCACACGAGCGCGACCCAGGGAAACAACGCGCTGGGGACACGCGCTGCGCGGACACGGGTCTGCCAGGACCAGCTCGCGCGGGAGACTTGTCGAGCAAGGAACCGAGTCTTTCGGAAGTCTTTTTTAGCTGAATCTTTTATAGATTATTCTTGATACTTTTCCACATGTTTTAATAGCTTTCCTTAGCATATTAGGACTTGGCTTTAGATTAGGAGATTTGCATAAAGGCATGTGCCTATTTATTTATTTGGTAATTCTTAGATTCTAGATATTTAGTTGCTTAAGATTTTATATTATTTCTTTAGTGTAGAACTCTAGTTCTTATAGGATTAGATTTAGTTAGCATCTATAAATACTACTCATTGTCATTCGAATTTACCATTCAAGAAGTTAATAAAAAATATCGAACGTTTGTTCACCAATCTCGTGTGTTAATTCGTGTGAGTTTACACACAAAACCGTATTAGAAATATGACCAACATCTGGGTTTCTTCAGAAAATCGCGAAGTACAAAACCTTCGGCGCGCGTATTAACAACCTATCACTTAGAAATCAAGGCATCGACGTGGGTTTCGAGGCAAATCGAGTTGAGCGGATACACGATCTTCATCAGCGTGTTGGCCCGCACTGCGTACATGCATGCACCCCCGAGCCTCGCTGACCCCAGACGACACTCCCGCGTACTCGTGCGTGCACCCGCAATGCCCGCGTGTCCTCTGCTCACGCCAGCGACCCTGCACCATGCCCAGGCGTCGTCTAGCGGCCCTCAACACGCCCAACAGCTACCCACACCCGCACCTAACGGCCACAACAACTCGCACGCGACCTTCCACTGCCCCGACCCGCGCCTGTTCGCACACGCACGTGCCCAGTTGCCCCGACCCACGCCCGATTGCACCTAGCTGCACCCGCTCGAGCTAGCCTGCACCCATGTCCGTCCGATCGAACCCGATTTTTAATTTTCCCGAGCCATTTGACTAAATTGCAACCATTTGACCTTGTTTTTCGTGTAGATTCGATTTTTGGCCTTTTTAAATGATTGTTCCTCAAATTCCGAAGTTTCCAAATCCCACAAAATTTCACGAGCTACTTAATCGATAGATTTCGCTAAGTATAAATTCTCATTTAACTTCCAATTTTTCAAGATAAGCTCTGATTTTTGCGAAAAATAAACTCTGATTTTTAAAAAATATTTGGTATTTTTGTCTTTGAAATAACGGGGCGTTACACCATGTGATTAACAATAATTCTCAACTCACCGAGTTATAGACCTAGCAGAATAAGTCTCACACTTTGGTAAATCAAAGAACGATTATTATTCTCACGTGCCCATCTTTATCTAACGACTTAAGTGTACGGTCAATATCAAAAGAACTAGTTTATATACTGGGTTAGTACAAAATGAGCTTCTTCTCCGAGGTCCATTCAATACACACAAAGTGTATCAGTATAATTCATTAAGAGGTAAAACCATACATAAAGTAAATTGCAAAAACATTGACCAGACTTGATTGTTTTATTCAAAATGAAATAAAGTTCAAACGCAAATGTTTTTAGTATACGAACTATCACAACTCGGCTTACTTATCGTCCCTTGGTGCCAAATGAAAACTTCTGAATCCACCCTTGGAGGTTCTCCACATCAAGATTGAGTCCAATTCTCCCACCGATGGGGCTGATCTTCTTTATCTGTGGAAAAGAACTATGAGGGAGCAGAGTTGGTACCAAGTGTTCGTATGAATTTGGCTAACATCGATCCTGCATTCCAACATGTATTCCACAAATATGTTGGGTAATGGAAATCGCAAACCAGAGATTATCGATTCCCTATGAACTACCACACACCCAAGAGGAGGACAAGGGATCCATTCACTTTCATATGGTACGAAGAGCCTTACTGATGAAGGCAACCCAAGATTTTGTCGAATCTAATCACATCGACGTCCTTTAGAATACCCGCCTTCCTGCAAATCTCTCTATCACTCGATTTCTAGGGATCTTCTAGTGGAGGTCTTCTCCATAAGCCTTCTAGTGTCAACCCAGATGACTCTTCCTCGATCCATGTCTGCATCTCTTGGATCCCCCTTACAGCAGAAATCGGCTCCCTTATTCGGCCAGCCTAATTATTCCTCAAAGAAGCTTCTACCATCTCCATATCAAAGTCATGGTTGCTTTCCGACATCCAAAGCAACCAAGAAAAAAAATTCTATATCTTTAGAGACAATTTGAAGATCTCGACTTAAATAATTTTGTGAGCAAGATAAAAGAAAAGAACGAAAAAATGCCACTATTTATAACTCACAAAAGTAACCCTCGAAATGAACTAAGGGCGTCGGTTGTCAAGAAAGTTTACACGTCTCCATCCCCAACAAGTGACAACTATCCCACCAAAACTCGTGTTGTCTTCTTTCGAAACCGCCATGAATCAAATCTAAATTGTACTGCGATCTCGTTTCGACGATGCTCAATGTTGTTCCAACACAATTAGTCTTCTCAGATATTGGTGAAAGTCTCACGCAACTTCCCAAGTTCCTTTTGAGATCTTATTATCCTTTCGGCTACCTGGAAACCTTGGAAACCTAGGGCCCCTGTTGTAGGTCTACAAAGTCTCCTCACAAAGCCCATAAGATTACGACCGAAGCACGACCCATTACACCACAACGTATCACTCGTAAGCAAAGCCCTAGAATACTAGTATAATCAGCCCAACACTGAGCCCAACACTGAGACCAGATAACCTGACAATTTCCCCATCGCCACATATTGCAAAGTGTCGATCTTTCAAACCACCGATCGTCGACTGTCGATCACTGTACAGAGTATGAGCACGCTCTGACAGGCTGAACTAGTAAAGCAAATAAAATGGTGACACCACAGCCCAAAGGGTTTCGTCTCACCGTCTCACCGTCCAAACAGGTCATGCCATACAAACCTGCAAAAATACATCTTGTCCTCAAAAGAAGAACTATTGCATGACCCCACGTGTCCTCCTCCAAGCTATCGGAGTGGGACACAATCATCATTACATTTCAATTTTTTCTTGTATAAAGGTGACCCCTCGGCACCTCATTTTGGGACAGACTAAGCTAAGTCAAGCTAAACATGAAAAACACATATACTAGCATACATAAACTCATTCTTCATAAACTTTTGCTAGTCATTCCTTTGGAGAAAATTATTCCTCGTCGATCTCCCAGCAGATCGAAGAAATCGTGTGCTATTTTATTTCCTTATTAATTCATACCATACTATATCGTATGCTCGCACAATACACATTAAACCTCTACCTAGTGATCCTAATCACCATTTACCTACCCTTAATATTGCAATCAAGGATCATTGGCGTTCACTCGTCAACACATTCCATGTACATGTACAAACATAGCTGAAGATTGTAAAGTAAAAAGCAAGAGGTAAAATTATACCAAATTTTCACAAAAAGTGCCAGAAAAAGGTCATGGTTTCTGTGCGGAAAAGATTATAAAGGACTGTTGAACTTTCTTGGTGTAGTTAACAAGGCCACATGACGAGCACAGATCTTCAATCTCCTCTTCTGTTAAATAATTGTAGTTTCCTCTCTGAAATAAGAAAATGGATTGCTAGGTTACATAAGACAAACATCACGAATCTAACATGTGGCAAATCGATCAGGTAAACATATTAATCTCTCTTTTTTTTTTCTTTATCTATCTCTTTTGTCAATTGATAGTAGGCTAAGTGGAGGATAGTTAGCTGATGAAACTTCTAGGAAATAGATATTTTCTATTCCTCGGGATATTAGCAACTGCAAAACGCTGTACTTGAAGTGTTACTACTATTTTTTAAAACCTTTCAGCCTGCATATTTACTATGTGAATGTTGGGAACAGAGCCATCAAGCTTAGATAATGACAAACCAGACTAGAAGTAATAGAATTCAACATAATGGAGCACCTGTCTTAGAGGCCTTAAGAATGCAGGAGTTGAAGAGGTAACTCGAAGGAAAGTACTTCCAACAAAAACACCACCACTTCGTAATATTCGATTGATTTCAGCAACCTAACATAGAAGCAATAATGTTTCAACACAAAGAACTTGAGAACAATGACTCCAAGTGTATCAAGAAGGACACTAATCCACCCGTGTATGTTCCGAAAAACAAATAAAACATGAGAAACCACCTTATTCATCACCACCTGGAAAAAGTAAACTACTACACAACAAAGAAAATAAAGCTCCTGATCAGTACAAGTGTGTTCAAACAATGAAAGAAGAACCACATTACATCCAGTACAGAAAAATAAACAGAAATGATACAGTACTAAGTAGCAAAGGGTAAACGCGATATTCAAAATTAATCTGAACATACATCACTTCATTCAGATGTTCCCATTCTAATTTAGAATGTACCCCCAAATACTACCAATGCAAACTTGGAATGTGGATTTTAGAAGAATGTGGGAAGGGAACTTGATCAAATTATAAAGCCTAAATTACTTTGAAGAGGAAGATGTTCTTGATTTTCCTCAGTCGAGAAGGAAACTGATTAAATTATAAAGCTTAAACTACTTTCAAGAAGAAGATGTTCTTGATTTTCCTCACTCAGGTAGTGAATGAGGCAACCATGTCATTTATGAGCTAATGTTTGACACAGGGGAACAGAGGCAAAATTAATGTCTCCTTCATATGCCATGTTATATGAATGCTATGCTTCCTTATCTGGATCTGGAAACATTTTCAATAGATTGGTAGTGACATTTCAATTCATTACCTAGTACTTAATAACACCATGCACCTCATCTAATAGCATCAGCTTACAGCCATAATCAGTGTCTTTGCTGAAGTGCTTGATCAGATAATCGATGACAGATTTAAAGTGGGGTGCAGAAGTGAAAAGTCGTTTTTTGTGCAATTGAAACTTTGTATAATTTCAATTCATGACTCTTCAAAACTACAGTTCATGTCCATTATACTTGAATATTTATCTCTCCCCCTCTCTCTTTGTTATTCAGTTCTCTCTAATATTCATTATTAAAAAGTTCGATTCCTACCCTTCATGATTTAAGAAACAAATTTACTTACAGTTCTAAGCATGGACAGTCTCCTGCAGAATTTTAATAACCCAATATGTTCACGGCCATTAAATAGTAAGAAAGTTTTTATTCTTATTCGGGTTCTATACTGACTAACAAAGAGGCGTAGCATAAAGAAGCTTGCCGAGTTGAACAAGGATTCGCGGATTTAACAAAAAAATTTGAAAGACTCCAAATAATCTGGATTTAAATTTTTCCAGAAGTTACTCAAAGAGGATTTGGAATACATTATAGAAATATGCCCTTGATCTCAATGGCTCAATTTATGGATTTAACATCATCCTCCCATCCCAGTTAGAAAGCACACAAATAGAACACTTACTGCATTGGAAGGAGATGGCCAACAATGCAAGGCTGCACCTGCATGAACGGCATCAACTGAACCAGACGAAAAGGGAAGTCGTGAAACATCAGCCCTCACAAGTGCAAGATTGCTGCACAGTTTCAGACAAGAAAATGGGTGATAATTTCACTTGAATTTAGAGGAAAGGAAATGCCGTTTCTGAGATCGTCACCTTTTAATGTCATTCTTATCAAGAGCTAAAGTAACAAGAATTGTAACACATTTACATCTATAATAAACATAAAAAAAGGTTGAAGAGGAAGGAGATGCTCACGATCGTAAGATAGCATCTTCATTCTTTATGAACTCAAAACATTGGCGAAGCATATTTTCAGAAAAATCCAGTGCAACAACTCTTGAATAAGCCCCAGATTTGGCAAACTTCCTGGAAAACAAACCACTGCCACAGCTCACATCCACAAGGACTCCACCTTCAGATGGTTTAAAATACTCCTGAGCCATATTGAACTGCACAAAATATCACAAACCTAGATTTGCGAGATCAGCAGGATATGTAGATGTGCAGACGAATTTGTAGTTCAAAGGAAATATTGTTATGCTTGCATGTTATTCATGCTAACTAATATATAGACACGTGTAAGTAAGAATTGACAGCAGATGAGATGGATATGTAATTGATATAGGCATGTCAAAATGGCCGGCGGGGCAGACCTGTGCAAAAAAGAAGTAAAATTACAACTAAGAGGTCATCCAGTGTTTGTGGTATTGCCTCATAGTGGTTAGTCCCTGACAAAACGAGCTTCTGAGGCAAATTAAAGAGCTTAAGTTTCTGGGAAACTTATAAATCAACATCTTTCAAATTGATTAGTAGGGCAGTTATGTACTTTCGCCTAAAAAATGAACCAGATGAAGACCAACATATTGTGTAATAGACACGCCCTTCAGATGAATAGACGTCAGAAAAAGAAAAGCCTGCTTTTGATAAAATACTTCAGCGATAAATGTCTCCAATTACGACAACGTAGAAATTATCAAAAACTATTCCATATAGGATTGACCCTACTTCAAATATAAGTAACACTGGGAATGAATGTCATGAGAAACAGATATATAGATTAAATTTCAAACATTGTCGAACAACCTGATTTCACAAGGCCATATGGAATGACATGGAGACACAACAAAATTTCTAGCTGCTTTATCAATGTGTGTGGACCTGAAAGTCTCGACACAAAACAAATAGCAACGGAAAACAGGGAACTAGTAAAGGAAGTCCAGAGATTAGAAAAGCACACGTTTTATTTCTCCTCCAAATTTATGCAACAGCATGACAATCTATTTATTGGAAGTTTATCAGTCAGTTCCAGAGTTACTTTGTTTCCAGGATGATTCCTGGAGTACATAACATGTACAGGTAAGAGATCATCTGAAACTTCTCTCTATTGTAAGTACACGACTGGGTAGTGTTAATATATCGTGAGCACATTTCATGTGGCAAAATTTTGAAGTAGTAATAATGCATATAACACAAAATGTAAAGATCAAGATGCCAACTAAGCAATACAAACAAATTTTCTAAGAACATACATAGGAACCAAATTCGTCCCATGCATCACAAAAGGAAACAGTTTCTTTGATACGCCATTTCCTTTTAATATTTATTCGTCTTTTCTTTTTTTGTTTCCATAGTCTATTGAATCAGAACCATCATCAATTTAAAGTTAAAAAATTTTGTCCCCTTGTATAGCGTTAACTGGAAGGAAGCTGTGTTCTTTCTGAAGAAAGAGAAGCAAGAATTCACCTCTTCATCAGGACCAGGAAAACCACTACGACTAAAATTTTGACGCCAGCCCCTCTCATACACAAATGAAACCAGTGGACTCCTGGCATAGGTACCGGGATAAATATCAGATGTGAAAAGAAGTACCAAGACAAAGTTTATAATACAATATTTAACTTACACAAGTCACAACAAAACATGTTAGAAACTACCAATCAATTATCTGACATGTCAACACTCAACAAGAAGTAAGTCAATGTGAATTTTATCATGGTGTCATGCAATTAAACACAAACATGCTATCGAAAACAAAAAGGTCATGGAGGTAAATTTGTTCAGCATCAAATCATGGAAAGAAAAGCAGGCACTGTCAAACTTATTTAAGTATTCAGTGAAATTCACAGAAAGCGTAAGAGAAACCACAAATGAATCGTACCGACAGTCAGACACAGAGCACATTATTTTACTAAATTTGGCAAATGCAATGCAATAATAATTATTAGCATATTATAACAGCTAAGTTCAGATAACACGGAATTGACAACGTTAACAGGTAGATAGGATGCAGGTGATATTACACTCCATATACGAAACATTCAAATTTTCCATTCTGTGACAGAGAATGCCATATTAACTGCACAAAGTGATCCTCTATACGCTGCCAGTACAGAAGAGAAACTAAACCTTGACAACCTGTCTGCTTAGTAATTTTACAGTACCATCTGCATGTGAAAATACGTAAGTGCTCTGTATCATGTTTTACCACAGCAAAAGCGAATGAGTTTTAATAAGACAACACAACTATTCCTGGATATGCTAACATATAAGCTTCCAGATTATCCAAAGTTCTACTGTTCAATTAGCTTAATATTATGTTGTTGCCATGAGTGTGTATCATGCACTAATACAATCCCTGCCCGAACTAAATAAATCTCTCCGTGGTTATTCTATGATCTTCAGACCATTAAATATATAATAAACATGTCAATGAACTATGAAGATGTTGAATTTTTGCCGTCACCACCAAATCTATTGCATCAGATCAACAATAGGATATGAAATAAGAAGCCACATATAAGCTTATTAGTGGAACAACTAGTGATTAATCAATGAAACTAACATGCCCCAAGAATGCTAACAAGTACAAATCTCTGAAGTTTGCGATGAGAGTATCTTTCACGACCTTCTAAAATAAGCATCGGGAACATGAACTAGCATAAGACACACAAGCTATTACTATCAACTGATATTCAAAATTAATATCATCATAAATAAGAAAAAAAAAATTCCCATTTTCAGAGTAGATGCTATCCAGAAACGAATGTAATGCCGATCAGGAATTCACACCTGAAAAGTTCAGTTCCAGTAGGTTTAAACTCATTGTACTCCTTTGTCCCGGAAGTAACAGTGAGATCAAGATAGATGCTTTTGCTTGAATAGGACTTGTTGCACTTCTTACATTTGAAACCAGACCTATAGATTGCCGGCCTGCATCATTCCAGTCTTGAATGATATAACACTCACCATCTCATGGTACCCAAATTTAATAGTTATTCTGAATCATAACGTACACGTTGAAACCTGGAGGGCCTTTCCGAATAAGCGGCTCATAACAAATGGGGCAAGCGAACAAATCAACAGCTGAAGTATCTTTGGCTTCAGTGATTGATTCCTAGTAAGCATGAAACAACCCAATATAATAAGCTGCATAAAACATACTTTTCCTATTAAAATGTTAAACCAAATAAAGTTAACATGGGCGAGCCAAAAATGCACTAGAATCTGAGGCCGTGCTATCAATACCGAAACTCTTTCTTTTGGAGATAATTATAATATGCTTCATAACAAAATTTTAAATAGCCAGATAGCATGCTTGTTCTAAAGGATTACGCCATCCAATAGACATTTCTGATGTTCCAACTTTTTTGCCTAAGAACTACATCACATATTTTGCTTCCTAAACCAAACCAATCTTTTTCAAAAAGCAAACATATAAGTAAATAAATAATAATAATAATAATAATTTACCAAAACAATGTAACGGATACTATCTAAGAGATGCTGAAAAATTATAATATAAGAAGGTATCTATTATCAACCTTTTTCCACAGTATGGCACTCTTATGTTTCTTCTCAATCACAAACATTAAAGAACTTCCCTATCGCCAGGTTTTAAAGCTAACAACAAAGGCATGAAACAGTAATAATTAAAATATTCTGCCTCTATGCATTCAAAAGATTAACACAGAGAGACAATCAAAACCAATACTGAATACTAATACCACCGGAAATGTACTATATTTCGAACAAAAAAGTTCACTGAAGCTGTGCACACTATCTCACCACAACGAACTAATATTCGACCACAAATTTATACCATCACCAGTCATAATCCACAATAACCTTCAAAAATGTCTGTGAATTCAAGTTAAAACCATATAAACACGTGCCCATTTCCCCTGTGGGCGCTCTAATTCATAAATGTACAAGATTGGGTAAGCTCACGCAAGTTGAAAAACTAGATATAAAAACAAATTTAAGAGAAGATTTACAGGCTGCATAGTAACAGCAGATATCGCACGGATTCTAGCAGGAGAGCAAACAGCAAGAGGACATAGCTGATAATTAGGAAAAGGATTAGGGTTTATCGGAAAGAGAGTAGAATTCTGTTGTAGACGGATGGCCGGCTGGGCCGCTATAGCCATGATCTCCTCCTATGGCGGATGTTGAGCTTCCTTTCTCTTTCTGTGAGATGATTTGTTTGTGTCCATATGTGTAAAGATATACAGAGGTCAATATATATTGGAGATTTCATTACAGAGAGAAGAGGGCGGAATTCTGGATATTTTCGTTTAAATTTCTGGTATTAAAACTGTACACGGGTATTTAAAAAAAAAAAAAAAAACAATTTTAACACTCAAGGTATACTTGGATTTACATAGACGTATCCTCTTACTTTCTTATTCTTGTTGTTCTAGGCGTGTTTTTGGTTTGGGTCGTTGACTCTTGTCACATTACCTTGTTGAGGTCTTTTCTTATTATACTGTAGGGGTCTTTTCTTATTACCTTGGGGTCTTTTAGTTTGTAATTTTGTACTTTTGTGCCCTTTTATAGTACATCTATCATTTTAGAAAAAAAAAAAGTATACTTAGATTTATGCTTTTATTATCTTACTAACTTAATCAATTTGGTTTAAGTGTAAAATCACATTTGGTCCAAAAACGATAAGAACCAACAACAACCACCACCTTTGATATAGCGCGCATATTAGCTCGGTGAACTAGATAGAATTTGTCAAACTCGAGTGTTCGATTCAAGTCATCTACAGCTCGGAGGGGGCATCGGCTGAGGATTACAAACTCTGCCATGAGGCGAATAGAATTCTGGGCGAAGTGATTTAGGGGAAGGCGATAGAGGTGACTCATCGGATCAGGTCCTCTTGCAAAGGGAACTTTAAGCGGCCACAACAGACCTGGTCCATGAAGAATGTATAAAAGCCCGGAGGGAGTTGGTCAAAAGCTATCACCAAGGTTAGGAGATCGGAAAGTCCAGGATTTTCGAAGCTCGCATTGATGTTCCAAATATGCTATTTGCTCGTAAGAATAATGAAAAAAAAAGGTTGATTTTTACAAGCTTAACGATGTCGGGCACATGCTCGGCCTTTTTCCCTATTGTTTCCTACGTCTCTCTAGCTCGACGCGCTTAACTGGAACACCTTTAGGCGTAGGAAGACGCTCGACCTTCTAGGGGTAGTTATCCACTAGGGTTTCAAGCTTATCCATATGGATCTCACCCTTTGGTTTGTCTACCAAACGGAGGGCGCCTAGTAGCTAAGGTTGGTGTACATGTTAGAAATTTGAATAATAGCTACAAATGGAAAAAAAACCTGAGGATATATCTCATTTTCTAGTTTTAGATAAACCAAACCAATCTTTAAAAAATTGCATTACTATTAATATTTCAAATGAGACTTTAACTTTTTTTCTATTTTTCTGTTTTATAATTTTTTCTAATTCATATGCAATCAATTTATCGATAATTTTTTTCATTGATATAATGTATATATATATATATATATATATATATATATATATACACACATATTTATAAGTGCGCCCAAATGAGAATAAAGTACAACGAAAGAAATATGAATAAATTTGTGTTACTGGATGCATCATTCTTAATCAAGATGAAGTCAAAGGTTAGTAATTAACGTCAAACTCACAGTGACAATTTTGTAATTAAATGGTCATTTGTTGGCCAATAATATACCTAGGAGGATAGTGTTGTAATTTCTACCAATCTGTCAACCCTAATATTTATCTCACATTGAAACACACAAAAGCACATAAAACACGCACGCACACACAACAAACACAGGAGAACAACTCGCCATCGGCCTGCGGGCAGGAGACTACAGTCGTGCCTTCGCCGCCCGCTGCCAAGCGCGGCGCAAGAGACTCCTATTGTGCCTCCGTCGTCCGCTGCCAACCTTGACGTAGGAGAATCCGGTCGTGCCTCGGCAACCAGACTCGCTAGCATCCTCCCGCCGACATCCTCAGCGTTGGTCGCCACTCGCCTCATCGAGCTCACCTGCGGAGGCGTTGTTGCTGCATTCTCTTCCGCAGGAGGCACCGGCGAGGAGGCCTACGAGGCGGATGTCGGGCTCCTGCAAAACTGATAAAAAAGCTAGTCGACGAGCCTAGGTCATCGGAGTACACGTCGGTGCCACCCTCGATGATTGGAGGCATTTTTAGAGTTTTTGTGATTTGAGTATGATTGCGATCCATGTTGTGGCAACGGGGATGGCCGCGGTGGGGGCAGCATGACAGGGAATTTGACGGTCGGGTATTGTCGGCGGCGAGTTGGGTCTGAAAATGAGTGACATGAGGGTGTTTTGGGGTTGGGGTCCTGTTTTGGAAAATTAGATAGGTTTAGGGGACTAAGTTTCAATTTTTGAACATTTAATATATGTGCATTTTAATACTTGAGGCCAATTTGTAATTTAGTGAAAGGTTATTTCATGAACAATAATGATACATAAGATGCATAATATAGTGTGTAAATGTGTAATTAAAAACAAATACTGTCATATTTATACGAAATTATAAAAAATTATAAATATTCAATTTTGTGAATTGCACAATATATTGTGTAGATATGCGCTTTAAAAATAAAAACAGATAATCAAACTGAAGTATAAAAGTTTAAACTAAAAATTTTAGTGCTCTCGGTTTTGGTCCATATTGTGAAATCTAATAACCATTAATGTGTAATTTGTCTTACATTATTGTGCACTCTCATACATTTTCAATTATTTGTCCAAACCCAAATTGAAACCGTATCGGAATAATCGATTTATTCGATCGGTTGAATTAACCTAAATAATCTAAATGATTTATTATTCATACTATAAATATATATTTAGTATTTTAACATTTATATTTAATATTTTATATTATTCTTTTAAAGACATTGTAATAAATGTCGAAATCAATATCGTGTAATCCAACATACAATAATGTGCATTTCGTCTAATATTACTATGCAAATTATTGATTGGTTTTTTATGTGGATTTTA